ATGGCTGCCCAAGTCCTAGGCTTAGGGGTGACTCAGCACTCAATTTGCTGCCACCTCTCCTGGCCCCCCTTCTCTCCCTAGCCTCTCTCCAGATTCCACTTGTCCGCACCTTCTCTGGCTCTTCAGCAGGGGTGAGAGTCTGTATCCAAAATGTCCTATGAGCAGGGTTCAGTGAAAACAAACAAACAAACACCGGCTGCAGAAACGGGGAAGGCTGAGTCTCTGTAAGCTCCTCTCTTACTGGCACTGCATGGTCTAGTCATAGCTTCAGGCTGCTCCTTTTAGGCTCAGTGTCAGTGCACATCATAGCAACTGGTCATTCTGCTGTTGGGCCAAAACTGGCTCTCTGACATCCTCTGAGGGGTCCCGGATTGTGAGAGGGCGCAGGCTAGGCCGAGGGACTCTATTAGTGCACAGTCGGAGCCGGGAAGGGATGCAGGAGGTTGGTCAGCCAGGGTGGGACCATGGGAGGGCTCCAGGGCATGTCCAGTCTATCTTGCAAACTATCTCACCAGCTGAGTATACTTTGCCAATTCAGGGTGGGTGTTATTAGTTTCAGCTGCTCACTCCTTTGCTCCGGGGCAAGACCTGGGACTCATCTGCCTATTCCGCCGCCATCTTGTCTCTCACCCAAACTAAATTTTTAAAAGTGCATTATGAAAAGACAAGCGTTATCTGATGGGACCACTTGGTTTGAATACCAGATCCATAAGGCCAGATATAGATTCAAAATTTGGGCTATAGGGAGCCAAAGATTTGGAATCAGACAGAGGCTAGTGGGAGGCTGGTTCCCACCACCATTTTCCTGGCTTCATAACTTCTTCACAGTATCCTATATAATAAAAGCCTAGGTGGTGTCACACCCTCGTTAGATGCCCTTGTGCGGGGCCCCGCGGCAGAGCTCGGCAGCCGCTCTGCGCATTGAGGCCTGGGGGTCCCGCAGCAGAGGAGGCCAGTCCCAGCATCTCTGCCACCTTGCATGGAGGAGGCGGGTCCTGGTGGAGGAGGCAGGTTGCAGCAGGGGAGGGCAGGTG